ATAACTAACAGTATCTATGACATTTCCTGTTTCTGGACCCCTTTCAAGATCCCAGTACATTTCTGAGCACAATTCAAAGTGTTGGCATTGACCTTTAAAGCCCTAAATGGCCTCGGCCCAGTATACCTGAAGGAGCGTCTCCACCCCCGTCGTTCAGCCCAGACACTGAGGTCCAGCGCTGAGGGCCTTCTGGCAGTTCCCTCACTGTGAGAAGTGAGGTTACAGGGAACCAGGCAGAGGGCTTTCTCAGTGGTGGCACCCATCCTGTGGAACGTTGTCCCCATCAGATGTCAAGGAAATAAACAACTACCAGACTTTTAGAAGACATCTGAAGGCAGCCCTGTTTAGGGAAGTTTTTAATGTTTGATGTTTTATTGTATTTTTAATATTTTGTTGGAAGCCGCCCAGAGTGGCTGGGGAAACCCAGCCAGATGGGCGGGGTACAAATAATAAATTGTTGTTGTTGTTGTTGTTATTATCATCTTTGAACACATATGCATGCAAACCAGTAATAAAGATCTCGCAAAAATGTTGTCTAAGAATCTGTAGAGCGAGACTGACATATACATAGATCTGCAAAGCAGTATGCCTGGTGGCTGGAAACAGATCCTATCAGTCTGCAAGTAGTTCCTGGATGAGGGTGAAAGCCTCAATCTACGATGCTCCCAACCAGAAGGAAAGTTGTGTGACCAGGTGACCTGGGAAGAACTGAAGAGAGTAGCCAACAAAAGTAGAAGTCATGGCATCAACTCACCAAAGTTCTCTCCTCCCCAGATGTCCATCTGAGTGTCATATTTTCCAAGATGGTTAAACCAAGATTTATCTATCACAAAGATGCCTCCTGCTATGACAGGTGTTCTAGGGAAAATGAGGGCAAGAAAGGATTTACACGTAATATCAGTAAAATATATTTAAATGCAACAGAAACATACAGCATATATACAGCAACATGTTCCATCTAAAGTCATTTATAAAGAAGAACCATTAGACTCCAGAATTTTCTATGAGCTGGTGCAGACTTAATTAGTGTAAAACCTTAACTGTAGTTAAGAGATTAGAAGCAAGTGCAAGATCACTCATGTTCTCTCCCCCCCCCCCATGTATGTACATACACACACACAGCCCTTAACTGCAGTTACATTGGCAGCAATTATAACCTGGTTTCTGCATAACCAGAGTATGGTATTGTTTAAGAACTAAGCAAGTAAGCCAAGCAGAAGACCCCGAAGCAAAATGCAAGTTGACCAATTTTCCACACCCATGCCAGAGGCATACCTAAAGATTCAGCTGGCAGTGCAATCAGGCACCTCCTTTGCCCCCAACTGAACCATGTAATCCCAGTTGGGAAGATAGGGAAAGGCAAGTAAATCCTGCCATATTAATAATAACAATAATAATTATTAGTAATACATTTATATCCCACCTTTGTTCCAAGGAACTCAAGGCAGCACTCACGTTTCTCCCCCTCTCCATTTTAACTTCACAACAACCCTGTGAGGTAGGTTCGGCTGAGAGACAGTGATCGTCCAATGGGTTTCCTCATGGAGGAAAGGGCTACTGAAGGTTAATAGCCATCACAGCTATGCCCTGCCTCTATAGCTGGAGGAAATAATGCTTCTGAACACCAGTTGCTGGAAACCACAGGAGAGGAGAGTGTGCTCTCCTGCTTGAATCCTGCTTGCAGGTTTCCCACAGGCATCTGGTTGGTCACTGTGAGAACAGGATGCTGGACTAGATGGGCCCTTGGCCTGATCCAGCAGGCTCTTCTATTGTTCTCATGCTCTTAAGAGTTTCATGGCTGAGTGGGGATTTGAAGCCCAGTCTCCTAGGTTCAACACCCTAACCACTACCCTGAACCACAGCACTAAAGTCAGGCAGAAGAATGTACAGACCTTGTGATTGTCCCAATCAGCCATGTGGACCAGCAGACACTAGAACAAGCTTAATCATCCTGGGTGCTTAAGACTAGAGGAGTTGGGGGTACTGTACTAGAGATCCAACACCCACAAATTCAGGCAGTGTGGACACCCATATGAATGCAAATCAGCTGATAAGATTATGCTTCAATCCACCTATCATCCTTCTTTTAATTTGCCTAGATTTGGTGGTCCTTATCTGCATTATGGGACGCGGGTGGCGCTGTGGGTTAAACCACAGAGCCTAGGACTTGCCAATCAGAAGGTCAGCAGTTCGAATCCCCGTAACGGGGTGAGCTCCCATTGCTCGGTCCCTGCTCCTGCCAACCTAGCAGTTCGAAAGCACGTCAAAGTGCAAGTAGGTACCGCTCCAGTGGGAAGGTAAACGGCGTTTCCGTGCGCTGCTCTGGTTCACCAGAAGCGGCTTAGTCATGCTGGCCACATGACCCGGAAGTTGTACGCCAGCTCCCTCGGCCAATAAAGGGAGATGAGTGCCGCAACCCCAAAGTCGGCCACGACTGGACCTAATGGTCAGGGGTCCCTTTACCTTTACCTATCTGCATTATAGTATGTGTGGAGAGAAAATGTGTGTATATATATCAGAATTAATCAGGCAGTGAATATATAGGTCACCACCACAGAATGTGCAAATGGTTTTGTTGAAATCTTGAGCTAAAAGGATGGCCTTGTCTTGGCCGCAGTAGACCCTATTCTGGTCACGCGCCAGCTTGGAAAAGTTCATTGTTCCTGCAAGACAATGGTAACAATTTCTAAAATGAGGGCCATGACATTTCCCCTGCCTCAGAAAGGAGATGGCTGCATATATTCATAACAGCCTGAAAAACCAATATACTATGCACTGCATATTATAGCAGTGCAGGCCACTCAAGCCAACAGATTGAGTTGCAAGTATTTGTCAGGAATATTAAAACTCTTCAGGGAACAATAGATATTGATTAACTGCAGCTCTTAAATGAACCACACATGACCTCTGAACACTTCCCGTGGTAACATCAACAAATGGAACAGCTTCTCATATCAGACAAAAAGAAGAAGTTGTGAGCAAAAGAGCTTACCTGATGGACTCAGTAGGATCTGTTCTGGACAATTTTTGCTCAATGGGGATTTGCTCCCACTTAAAGTGAAGGCTCCAGTCAAACCCTAAAATGTGGAACAGAGTAGTACATGTTTGCAGTTTCTCAAATACAGAGGAAAACCAGAAACTAACAAGGGTTTCTGGAAAATGTGAAAATAGGCTTCAAGACTCCATTTAGGATACATTGGGAAGAAGCTTGAAACACAGCAACACATACCGCTTAGCAATAATTAGATGGTGTTGACACTGCTTATTCGCACATGATCTCAGGGCAGCAGGAGACAAGCGGACTTGTGTTAGCCAGGCCTCGAGGTATCCCTATAGATGCGCCCTGTTCCTTAGCGGTATTTATCTGAGCTCAATTGCATTCCAAATCTTCCAATGTGTGTTCCCAGAGAGAAATGCAATAATTAGTGCTTCAGCCTTCCACTCAGACTGTCCTATGCCTCATTGGCCGCCAAAGTTATGAGACGTTAATCAGCACTCTCAGTGGGATGACATGTATTTCCGGGAACAAAGTCTCTCTGTTCGCTGTAATTGGCTTTTCCCCATGCGCATCACATAAAATGCTGCCTAATTTACCATTTTTGCAAATTGGGTAGATCCTGTGGGAAGGAAGGTGAATGGCAGGGGCTGTATGCAAGTGGGCTCTGCAAAACTGAGAGGGAGGGGAAGTTGAGACCTGCACTTGAGTAGAAGGAGTGTTTCCCCAACACTTGGGGAAAGGGTGGTGGATGTGTAGATGTGTCCCCCCCCCCAAGAGAACAGGGTGGAGCAGCTGGACTTCTTTGCATTTGGGTTCCTTGTATATATATAAAAAGGGTGAAATAAACGGAAATTCTGGGGGCTTATCAAATATAAGGCTTCCCCATATTAATCACTTAGTATGCTGGTCATCTGTATTAGTAATCTGTGGCAGATGGCACTGAATGGGGAAAGACATTTGTGCTTTCCAAAGCAGATTCCTCTCCTTATTCAAGGAAATCTTTGCTTTCCTCTTCCTTTGTTTTTATGTCATTTTTATCTTTATATTTTACTACTCTTTTTTAAAAAGCAGGTTCTCCTCTCCCCACCCCCCAGTCAACCCCCAACAAACATGCATAGATCAGCTGAGGAGGAGGAAGGTGCGCATACTGCATTTTCTAAATTAATGTCTGGTTCTCTCTTTCCCTTCCATGTGTGTATGTGCTAGGAATGTGTGTTAAGGGGGTCGTGTGTTTGTGTATGCTTGACCATACCCACTGTTGGAATATGGCCTCTGAGAGCTCTCCATCCAATAAACCCAGCTCTTGGGCTGAAGCAGCTTCTCTAAGACATCACAGGCTTTCCCTCCTCTAAGAATCCCTTGCCGCTCCATGTATTGCCTCCTCGATTAACCTACAACCATCTCTAGGCACACCAGCCTTTTCCCTTGACACCACAAAGTGGGCCTTTCCTGCGATAAATCTGCCTGGCAGCAACAGAAGAGAAATATCTCCCCAATTTGCACCTCTCTTTCCCAGTTTCTTGCCTTGGCAAGCATCAATGCCATCACCTATGCGAGGGGTTGCACCACATGCCCCTTGACAGCTCCTGATTCATGATATTCCCTCCACCTGTCAATCTCCCCCGCTCCTGGCGGCACAGGATAAAGGCACATCTGTGAAGACCTGGGCCAATTGCATGTAAGCCTTTTTTGAAACTTATCCTATAGCCTGCACTGTTGTGTAGAACATAGCCTGTTTTGTTTGATTTTGTACCCTGCTTTCTTGATTTCTATCCTTTCCCTCGGAGCCTGATAAAGCCTTCTCTGCTAGAGTATGTAGTTTGGCTGCCTTCTTCTACTAAATGGGAGTAAGCAGGGAAAGGGCTGGAGCTTTTCCAGTCACATCTGGAGATCAGCTGCAGGTGCCCTTCTTCCAAGTTAATAATCCATAGGCTGTGGTTGGAGAGCTGGAAGGGACCACGAGGGTTATCTAGTCCAACCCCCTGCAATGCAGGCATCTTTTTGTCCAATGTGGGGCTCGAATCCACAACCCTGAGATTAATAAGAGTCTCATGCTTTTCCAACTAAGCTATTGTCAGAACTAATTTAAAAAGAAAGGAGACTGTGTGACACTCAGGCAGAATCTCTTTCACAGCGCATATATATTATTAAACTTCATTTTAAGGTGTGTGAAATTACAGATACAATAGATGGATCCACAGTATTAAATGCAAAACGAGAGATAATGTCACGGGCTTAAAACAAGCATGAGCTTATTTTTAGAAACCACAAATTAAGGGTGTTTTGGTCTTTAAGGTTGAGGAATAAGGATGGGGAACAGGGAAGGAACTGACAGCAAGGTGACTTCCCCTCATTCAGTTGTAACCTGAACCCCCTTCCCAGATTCTTACTGTTTTCATAGAAATTGCCAATGCATTTTCAGGCGTCACCCACAACAACTATGAAAGGCTAAATGCTACTCTGTGTGTGTGTTTAAAAATGTGAAAGCTGGATTCTGCACAAACTGTACAAGGCTGTACTCCATAATCACAGCCATGAAGATTTGAAATTACACACATATACACACTCTGAGCACAGGCTCAACTGCTGATGAAATCCTAGGCTTTTATTCTGGCATATTTGGCATCGAGATCAAAAGGAACCAGCTATGTTGGGCCTTTCCAGGGGGAGGGAGACCTTTCTTAAGAATTTACTTATTCACCTTACCTACCTCCCCTCAAATCTGCTGATGCTGCTAAGTAGGCAAAATTTTCCAGGCTTATCACATCGATGATAGGACTCACCACCCGAGTATAATCCTGAAAGAAAAGACAAGGAAGGAAAGAAATTAGAATTTTGCCAGGAGGGAGGGAGATTAAGCGTCAGGAAATCAGAGACCATGAGATTTATGCACATAGTGGAATGAGAAGCATATTTGCATACTGCCTTACTTTCTTAGCCCCAGCACGGAACCTGGAGATAAGGAAAGGACAAATCTGTGGCTTTTGGGGGAGATTTTAACCCCTCAGTTGTTGTTGTTGTTGTTTTGGGGGGGGTTGCAGCTGAGATTCAAAGGAACTTCTTCCACAATTAGCAGAAGGACAAGGAGGAAGAGGGGGTGGACATTAATAACACAATGGCTACTGGTAAAATGTCTGTTCTTGATTTTCTGGTCACATACGCAGGACATGGTTTCAAAGGGTTATTGATCAGAGACACTATCAGATCAGGCAGGTGTACTGTTAAGCTTTGATTTCCTACAGTCACCCTAAGAAAGATGTTGACAAACTAGAATTATGCAGGTGGGAAACTGCTGCTTTTGACAGAAGCCATTTCCCTTTCTGATTCCACGGGAGAACTTGATGGAGAAAGCCTCCCTTTGGCACTTGAGATGCACAATCGTTTAGAGCCATTTTATCCGCATCCTTCTCCTGATTTTGCTCATAGTTTCATGAAGTCTGCTTGCTTAGGCAATGTTAATTGTTCCAGTGAATCATCTTGCAGGGAAATCTGTCTGTCTCTCCAACTGTTCTTATTACTTCTGCGGGTGCATCCATACCAGATGTTCCCAGAGATACATCCCAGGGACAGCTGGTGAAGTCTATCTCATATCCCAAGTGGTGTCCCTAACTAGGGCTTTAATTCCAGGTTTCGTCACTGCAAAGTGAATGCCTCATTAAAGAGATACTCACTTGCCCTGAAATAGCCTTGGTAATCAGGAACATTTACCGTATTTTTTGCACCATAACACTCACTTTTTTCCTCCTAGAAAGTAAGGGGAAATGTCTGTGTGTGTTATGGAGGGAATGCCTACGGGTGGCATGCCTACGGATTTTCCTCCTCTAAAAACTACGTGTGTGTTATGGTTGGGTGCGTGTTATAGAGCGAAAAATACGGTACTCCTAGCAAGGCTGCTGCTTGAAACAGCCGACAACGGGTGCTTCCAGGCGGTTGCTGTTTTGGGGTGGGACTACGTCACATACCATAAAATTCAGGTTGCACAATTATAGTTGATTGGGTTGGCTTGTGCAACAAACCCACTTCCCCAAAATATCAGACTTTCACAATAATAAAGGTGATGGGGAAATGCACTGGGAAGTAAAAAGAAAAAAGGTAAAGGACCCCGGATGGTTAAGTCCAGTCAAAGGCGACTATGGGGTTGCGGCACTCATCTTGCTTTCAGGCCGAGGGAGCCGGCGTTTGTCCACAGACAGCTTTCTGGGTTATCATGTGGCCAGCATGACTAAACTGCGTCTGGCACAACGGAACACCATTATGGAAGCCAGAGTGCATAGAAACGCTGTTTACCTTCCCGCCGCAGCAGTACCTGTTTATCTACTTGCACTGGTGTGCTTTCGAACTGCTGGGTTGGCAAAAGCTGAGACAGAGCAACGGGAGCTCACTCCACCGCAGGGATTCGAACTGCCAACCTTCTGATTGGCAAGTCCAAAAGGCTCAGTGGTTTAGAACACAGCACCACCCGCTGGGTTATAGCATAATACTTGCTGTGGTGAGATGCCATTTAACCGGCTCTCCACAAACAGATCAGAATGAATGCCCATTCAACAGCCAATGCAGTCTTATCTCCCGGTCAACAAATAAGGACAAGCATTCAATAAACAAACCATTTGGAAGCATCCTATGCCAGGTACGTACTCACAGGCACATCTAATCATGGATAGACAGCCCAAGAGGCTATTCCAGCAATTTTTGGCTCTAAGGGTGGGAAGAGAACGGCATCTACCCCCTTAGGAGTGAATAAGGTGGCTGTTTGCAGGAAAGTAGGGCTGGTATCCAAGTTTGGCCTGGCTGCTGAACTACCGAGGCCCAGCCCTTTGGAGCTTCTGTCATGGTCATTGCAACAAGCTTGTTCACCCGCCTCTTGCTCTGGCCCAGACAACCATGGAGACAAAGCAGGATCAGCGGATGTCACTGCCTGCTTGCTCACTGTCAAGCAGGGAAGGCGCTGAGATCTCCTGCTGGCAGGCAGGAACATCCTTCAGCCAGAGAATCCATTAATGACTAATCATTTAAGCAGGCTCAGGACTTGGGTGAAGAATCCCTGTTGTGCTTTTTAACACATGCTGCCTGCAAAATACAAAAGGCAGCACAGAAACCTATGAAGTGAAGACAATGGGAGTTTGCCCCAGGCATAATTTTTGAAGGCTGTGCTAGAGCAGGTACAGCCCACAAGGAAAACCCATAGGGAGAGTGGTTAATTTGGACAGTCGGGGGCTGCCTACCTTTAGAAGGGGTGAAGGAAGACAAACGAGCAGGCAAAAGGGTCAAGAGCTGGTCTCCCTGCAAAGTGGTTGGAGGCCAACAGACAAAACAGATGCTTCATGTTTAGGCAGTAGAAGCCTAGGCGTCAGAGATAGCTGGCATTGACAAGCTGCAAGAGATCTAAATTCCAACCAGCTCACGGCACATAAAAGGCAGCAACTTCAGAAACGGTGACCTTGAAAATGGTGTGCAAGAGATGGCTGTGGCAAAGTAAGGGAGGGGGCCTAGACCCTTTGTGACACTTAAGACACACATTGTGGATTTTTGAAAATACCAGGCATAGTGGGAAGAAGGGAATTGCCCTTAGTAACGCAGCACATGGTCAGAAGAGGTTCAAGCCTCTCTTTCCTGGGGCCATGATAGTGGTAAAACTCGCCTCCAAGCCAACTTACGTTAGGAAGAGAGCTCCGAGTGGTGTTTTCCTAATGTAAACTTGCCACATGGAAAGGAGCAGTTTTCACTAACATGCTAATTTTACTAACAGGCTTAAACCAGGATGGGTGGGAACCTGCTGCCCTCCAGATATTGCTGGATACCTATTCCCACCAGTCCCAACTAGCACGGCCAGTGGCAGGGGTGATGGGTCCAGTAACATGAAGCAGGACACAGATTTCCCCCTCCCAACTCCTAGCTTAAACTTGCCCTAACCAAACGCCACATTCCCAAGGGCAATCAGTTGCCACCTTCTGCACTAGGCATTTAATTAAACAACAACAACACAATGTGGTTGAGAGTCACATCACCTGCATAGTTAGGCTCTGAGATCCGGGCACAAAGATGAAATGAAGGGGGGAAATGTCTAAAGCTATGGGGTTTTGGGGGTTTTCCCATGTGTCTAAAGGTATGTTAAGTCTACTAGTTTATATTAGTTTATATCATAGCTGTCATTGTTCACCCCACTCAACCACCTAAATAATCCTGGGAATTATAGCTGGGTGACAGTGGTGAAAATTCTTTTAGAGGCTCTAAGCTGCCCTCACAGAAAGGAAAGGGCTGGTAAATATGCCATACTATCTGTAGCACAGATATATAAGTAAACGTGTTTCTTGGCACTGAAACAGGCGTGCACCTGACAACGAAAAGGTAGGCCTGAAATAGAGAAACTCAAACACAATAAACTTCTTGAAATGTCTGGACTCAAATCCTCCTCTGCTGCTGAGCTGTCCGGGCACATTTCCTTCCGTGCAAGAGCAGTCAATGAGCTGCCACTGCTATTGTTGGTCCTGCCAGCAGCATGATTTTATGAGCAAATATAAAACAGACATTTATGGGCTACTGAGAAGGAGGATTTATTGAGCCGAGGCTTTTTAAGTCACCAGTTCTAAGGTTTCACCTTCTTCCTCCCTTTGGCATTAAGCTGAACATATATGTAATTTGCATCTATAGCTGTTCCTCCCACCTGCCTCCTGGGCCCTGTTAACTACCTAAAAGCTTTCCCTCCTCTTTTCTTGTCTTCCTGAGGAGAAAGCAGGCCTTAAATGCAGCAGGGAGACCGGCCCTCCCCTCCCAGCTCCGAAACAGCAGAGTTTTCAGCAGCACCGTCACATCCTTTCGCTGACCCTCTTGGCACAGGCAGGATGAGAACTGCCAACTCAGCTGCATCGTTTTTTCTCTCCATCTACCCTGGGGGCTACCACCTCCCCCCCCAATCCCAAATGAACGCTACACAGTGCATTATTTATTACACAACTCTGGAAAAAGGACTCCCATATTAAGCTATACTTTGGTGTAACGAATGCATGTGGGGAGAGGGAATTCAGCAATAGGAGATAAGAGGCCGGGAAGCTCCGTTTTTCTCCCTCTCTCATAACGCTAGAGC